GAATTCTAGGATTTTTAGGTTGTGATGACATGTCTATGCCAGTTCCAGCAAAAATGTCATCATCAAGCACATTTGGTATTTGTTCGTTGATTTCCATACTTTTTGGCAGCAGAGGTCCAGGTTGCACACTGTTTTCCGGTATGTCTTGCGTTGGTGTTGCAGGAACCTGGAACTATGTCCTCTTCATCTTCTGAAGTGTCAGAGCCTAGTTCTGACATCGTCATCATGCAGGTAATTTGCTATAATTTCAATACAAGAGCTTTCACTGCTGTACACAGAAACTTAAGAAATGTTTACACAGAAATACAGTCAATTGACAGGCGGTTTATGACAGAATTACAGAAAAATAAAAAAAAAATAACTAAATTTTATAATAATATTGCATACCTAATAAAATTGATGGAAAATAGAATACTAGTACAAGAAACAAATATCTAATGATCAAATTAAGTGATAACAACAAGAGTTGAATATAAATAATGGTTTGAGCTGGCTCGCAGGCCTACTCCTACCTACTGCCTCTTCTCATGAAGAGAAGAGGAGGGGGGAGGGGTGAGAAAGCCAGCCGGGTTCTTGAAAATTAAATTAGACACTTAACTTATATACGCGTAGTATACAGAAAAGCAAATTCAAAATCAAGTTGATAAATGTGTGGGTATTCTGAGTATTACGTTAATCACGGAGGAAAATTTTACGTTAATCTCAGAGGAATTCTAGTAATCACAGAGCACAATCGTAAGGTGTTTACCGAATTACCGTATGAACGCCGCTGACTCTCTCTCGACCTCAGTGACGCAACAAGAAAGCTGAACTGAAAGGCGGAACTTCTCGTGGGTCAACCTTATACAGTTCAACAATGGTGACGAACTACTGAGCAACGAACTACATCCGCCAAAATGGGCTTCTGATGGGATGGGTCAACCTGATACTAGTTCAACCATGTGTGATACCGTGATAGAGCGTTGAAGACCATGTAAGCCCATGACCCGAAGGGGTCGCCTGCCGAAGACCACCACTGCCCTGGATGTAATGGACCATCATGATTCCTGCCTTCTGGAACGTAGCCTTCAACACTTCAAGCCGTCCGTATCTAGGCCATGGGTCAAACCAGCTCTCGGTCGAACGGCCGCTTGTCGAAGGACAATAAATTTTGGAACAGAACTATGCTAACTGAAACCTAACCTCAGATGCGGTGAACGTAAAATTACGTAATTTAACGATGCCCAGAAGTCAGTTTCGATCCGCGGCCTGGTGGTGCACGGCAGGTTCTATGCGAGGCCAGAGGAAGATAAAGCCGAGTGGTTCACGGCTGATTAGTGGATGTTCGGAGAGATCCAAGGCGTTCGATTCAGGGCTTATTGGTGCACAAAATTGGTGGTGCACGGCTGCGCTCCCGACCCGAAGCATTACCATGACCGGTCATGGCATGACCCAAAGTACCAACTCTGTAGTTTTTGTGATTCAACTTCGAACGGACAATTTTACGGCCGGACTCGAATACTACATATACTACAGTATATGTAATTCTGCCATGAGTTCAACCATGTGTAACCGGAAACACCGCCGCGAAGTCGAAATAGTTACGGGTAGCGTGCCGACTTGATGGTGACTTGCATATTGGTTTTAACACAAGGGCTAAAGAGTCGCTCTTTGGTCCGGCTCTAAATTCCCTTACGTTGGAGAGGGGAGGAATAAACACGAGGAACTTTTCGTAATATATTGGTGATCTTTGGGCGTTACACAATTCCTATGTACAAGGTACACAATTTATTAGGTTCAAAAGCTCCGGGAAACAGGGTCTCAGCCTCAGAGATACAACGTCGAGAAATCCTAATAAACTACTGAGGACCACAAAAGCGGACAGCAAGGATACGGGTACGAGCCGCACCACAAAACTGACGACCTCATAGGAATGGACAGTAAGGATACGGGTACGAGCCGCCCTACAAAACTGACAACCTCGCAGGAACGGACAGCAAGGATACGGGTACGAGCCGCACCACAAAACTGACGACCTTACAGGAGTGGACAGCAAGGATACGGGTACGAGCCGTACCACAAAACTGACAACCTCACAGGGGTGGACAGCAAGGATACGAGTACGAGCCGTACCATAAAACTGACGACCTTACAGGAGTGGACAGCAAGGGTACGGGTACGAGCCGTAGCACAAAACTAACAACCTCACAGGAGTGGACAGCGAGGATACGGGTACGAGCCGCACCACATTGACCACAATGCCGACAATCAACGCAATGATCAGGGGTTCGAGCACTAAAGCACTGCCCAGAACACAGAACCGGGGTGGTGGCAGTTACGCCTCAAAAGTACGACTATTGAAGGGTACAAGCCTCCAATAAGCCGCTGACAATTCACTCGAGCGCAGAGGTTATTAGCCTCTACCTCGAGGGTGCAAATTGAACGCTGTTAACCGCCCCACGCAGCCAAAACCTGGAACTATCCAATAACTCCACCTCTGCCGTTATTAGTCCGTTAGTGGAACTCATTAAGAGTTATGCCCAGAACTGCGAGGGAGTTTCTTCTTGGAAGCCCAAAGTTGGCTCTGCTTCATTCGAGTCGAAACCGTTCACCCCAACCCAGCAACACTGAGCACACACAACTTCCGAGCGCACACAACGAGGGGGTAACTCAGCCAAAATGAGCTTACCTCAACACCCCGTTTACAATGTACAAAACAGACTGTAAACACTTCCTTAGTGCAAAAAATAGATAATATAATATAATACAATAAAGTCAACATATTTGTAATTATTTGGCAATCTAATCACAGTTAAAAATCTAAAAATCTTAAACTAATTCCAAAGAGACCAAACTCTCCATCGTCCACGACTACCTAGCGCGCGTTATAACGAGGTTAGGAGCAGCTCAACCAATCACGTTGGAGCTACACCTTGTCTCGTCCCAAGACACTAACTAAATCCTACAAATACCACAGCTAGACGAGATTCTATATTACGGTCGCGAAATAAAGATTCGTTTACACATTGCTTAGTCATAAATAAATTATACCCTATAGTAAACAAAATAATATCACGGTTAAATGAGATTCCTTGTTGCAGTCACAAAATAAATGTTACCAACAATTGAATAGTCACTAACCTAGCACAGGATTAATAAAACGTACAAGTAAACAAAAAAAATATATATATACCACGAAATTAGCATCCCGTCATACATGTATTTAAATGTTCCGTTCTCTCGTAATTCCGCAAAGCGGTCATGCCAGGAAGAAGTCCGCGAAGTAGGTAGGGCATTTCCTCAATAGTCGAGATCAAACGAATTGAGTTAGTTTTGTGTTAAGTTTGATGCGTATTAATTCTTTAATGCTTTGACCATCGAATAATTTGGATTATGGCAACTCATGTTAAAAAACGTGCTTTAGCAGAGTATGCCCAAACTGTGGTACGTTAAATTATTTTTGGAAATACATTAACGGTTAACTTGGTATCTTTGAGATTTTCCATCTCACCATCTGTTTTGAAGCTTCTTTAAAACTAAAGTGTTGTGGTTCAATCATAGTGACAAACCAGAGATTTTTAAAATCAGTTTATTTCTAATTTCCTTATTTATTCAAGACTTAAACCAATTTCTTATGTAAGATAATGCTGGTATCCATGATACTTTACTGGTCTACTTATAGGACTCAAAAATGAACTCGAGGGAGAGTCTAAAAAACTCTCTGCTTTGCCACTATGGGTTCAATTAAAAATTTGGTACTCTAATTTTGTGCTTGAGCTACTTTGTCTATAGATCTCAAATCAGGAACAATTTTTAAATGAAAAATTGGGCAAAATTCAATCTTGAATTAGCCAAAACTGCCTATGTGGCTATGCTGTGTTAGTCAGTTAGTGTCAGACAGTCTGTCAAAGTGTGTACCTAGGCCTACTGTAGTACTGTGTATAATCATAATGCTGCTACTGATTAAAACTGGCCTGGCATCTGGTGCAGTTCAGACTGGCAGTTGTGTACAAAGTTAAAAAATACAAAATTTTATTAAAACATTCATTTTAATATTACATTTTTTATTTCAAGTGTGGAAAATAGGTAATACCTATCTTTACCTTTCCACATTCCAGCTTGGTAAAATATTACAATGATGCTTAAATAACAAGGCTTGATAGGCATTCTTTCTTTCCTAATAGTCTAAACCTGCAAAAGGTTAAAATTTGAAAAAAAAAGAATTATAGAAATTTGTATACTGGCTAACAAGCATTGAACCAGTCTGTAGAGTATGGCACAACATAGGTCGGGGCATGGTGGCAGGGAATTATTGTGAGTACTTATCGGTCCACCGCCGTGCGTCATAGTGGCAAAGCAGAGAGTTTTTCAGACTCTGTCTCAAGTTCATTTTTGAGTCCTATAAGTAGACCAGTAAAGTATCTTGGATACCAGCATTATCATACTTATGAAATTGGTTAAAATCTTGAGTAAATGAGGAAATTAAAAATGAACTGATTCTAAAAAATCTCTGGTTTGTCACTAGAGCTCATAGCCACCTGAACTACGCAATGTAGCGCGCAGTTACGGCGCCTGTGAGAGCTACATTTGAGCACCCAAGCATACTCGCTCAGAGACACCAGAACTACTCTACTTGGTGTAGCGCGCAGTTCCTATGGTTCTAAGTGCATGTATTTGAGTGCTTGCATTGAGAGAGCCTCACGGCACTGACAATGGATAACAAAGCAGCTTGTGATAAATCATTTTAAATAAACACTAGAGCTGAGCTTCCCGGTAGAACTTGTCCTCAGTGGGACTCGAACCCGGGAGCAGGGTGCGAGAGACAGAGTCTCTCACCACTGCACCACCACAGTTCTCTATACCTGATGATGCCTGATGCCTGATGATCGACATGGATGCATGCATTCTACGATCAATGTGGCCGATGCCCAATGATCAATTCTGACACTCACGGTTTGCGATCAATGCGGCCGATGCCAAATGATCAATTCTGACACTTGAGGTTTGCGATCGATGCTGCCAATACCTGATGATTGACATGGATGCACGCATTTTACGATCTATGTGGCTTATACCCAATGATCCATTCTGATGCTCGCGTTTTGCAATCAATGCAGCCAATGCCTGATGATCAACACTTACACAACTTATATTTCTTTCTTCTGTAATCATATTATGGAATAAGTGTTGAATTTAGGCTTGAACAGGGCTTTCTTGTATCAAAAGTAATTATGTTTAAAAATCTGTTACAGTTTGTGGAATTATTGGAATGTGTAATCTAAGTGATAATCTATCTTGAGCAAGGTTGGGTGATGTACAAGTTGTTAATGTTGTCTATTGCAAGTTGTTATTAATGTCTATTGGTGTTAATAATATTTTCATAAATTTTGTTTGTAGAATTTAAGTTATTTACCTTTTTCATAATGTTTCTTGTGACTTTTAGCATCTCTTATTAGTGCTATAAATTTTCATTTCATGTTTTGATCCATGCCAAATTTATTTGAGGTTTCAGTTGTGCAAGTTATTTCTTATGCAATTAAATTAAACTCGATGTTTCCAGGAAGAAGGCCCCCGGCCTGCAAAGACGCTGGTACTGCCAGGGCGAGTGCCAAGCAAGTTGCATTCTGCAGAGCTGCTGTTACAACAAACACTGGCAGAATGGACTCCAGCTTGCTTGTTGGACACCAGCAATACATGTGTTTTAGCTGGCTTATTAACTCTTCACTATGCTGTCCCTCTCAATGTAAGTTTTTGACATTTGAATTCTGCTTCATGTTAGTTTAATTTTTTTTTCTACAGCAACAGATTAACTTTCAGTTATTAATGCCATTATTTTCTGATGTAAAATTTTTATTTTTTAATCACACATATTCTACTATAAGGCAATTTTTACTTGATGCTTTTGTTTAATTTAGATGGACATTCAGCATGAAGCAGTAGAGGCACTGTTGTCTCTTCTGCAAAGGCTTGCATCCTCCACTGAAAGTGAGCAGGTAGAAGATGAAGATTTAACTATATCTGTTGTTGGAGAATCTCCTGCTTGTCCTGTATCAACTCAAGATGTGTTGGCACAAGTTGTAGCAGTTCTACCAAAAGTCATCACTACAGCAATTGCTGGCGAGAAATTTAAGGAACAGGTAATTTTCTTTTCCATTTCTCTTGCCATTTCAAATGCTGAATGAAGAACAATAAAAAAGCTAAGCTGTATTTCCCATGACCATTCTTTTAAACTTGTTCAGAAACTTATTAAATGAATATTCAATTTCTGAACTTATTGAGGAAAACTGTTGAGATTCAAATAAACTAATAATTTATGGACCCAAGACAACTTAATTTTTTTCTCAACCCTCAGCTTGCTAATAGTGCTGTCGACTGTCTGTGTCAATGCATGAGCGTTTGGCTGCAGAAAGAACACCACCGGCAGATTCTTGTTAGCCAGACTTTACCAACAAGCAACAATCTCAGTGCTGCATCACCTTGCAACCGCGTGCTGAGTCTTGCAGTTAGAGCTGCAACATCCCTGGCACTTCTCACACCTCTCATGGAGACTCCTGTAGCCAATACCACTGCAGCACTCAAGTCTTCCAGACACCAAGTGCTCAAAGTTGCTCTTGCTGGGCTAGCTACACATCAGCACCACTTTGTGAAGGCATGATTATGTCATGTATAATTGTTCTTTTGAAATTTCTAAAATTGGACCCATGAGATATTTTCTGGTTATGCATCCAATTTTCTAGCTTCATATAACTTGCAATATTATTAATTTTAATACGGTAATCATGGTTTTGCTTCTAAATGCTTTGCTATCTGTTTGAGGCAAAGAGGAATCTTGCTGTAATTTATTGATAGATTTTGGGGCTGACTATGAATGCTGAAATTGAAGTTTTTCAACTCTTTTAAAAAAACATGATTCTTTTTGATTTCAAATTGCTTCATTATCAGTCTCAAATTCACATCCTTTGCTTTGACTAAAAAGTCTCTAGTTGAAATTCTTTTATTGTAGAAAAGTGAGTATTGTCGAATTTTTGAAGAAGAAAAGTTTACCACTAAACATAATCTTTCAAATATTAAGCAGCCATTGTGGATAGATTTTTTTGTGTGTAAATTATAGTATTTACTTTGTACCAGCAAATGAGGTTATATGTACAGGTCAGCTGCCTGGAAGCTGCTGGCAGATTGTGCGGTAGTGTGGGCCGTCCTGGAGGCCAGGAGGAGAATATTCCTGAACGCACTTCACGCTTGGGCCTTCAGAAAGACAGAGCTCATGGCCAGCCTTCCACTTCCATGGAAGTGATCAATGCACTGTTATGCCACGCTTCTCACCACGACAACAGAGTGCGAACCGCCGCCTACAAAGCAATGGTCTGTTACCATAATTTTGATCTTTCATTTGTTGATACAGTTGTCAGCAAGACATTATCATGACTTTTGAGACATTGGTTCTCTCTGGCAACATGTACGCTAGCAGTCACTTTTCATTCAGTTTGGAAGTAAATTCTATTAAAAATAAAAGGATGTATATTCATGTTTTTATTTTCAGACATATAACTGTGGTTCTTAAATTGTGTTATTTCCTCAGTGAAAATTTGATTTTTGAAGCTTCGTTTTCAATTACTTAGTTATAACCGCGTAATAAAACTGTTTCATGCCAGATGAGCTGTGAAGACGCTGGTGTTCGGCTGCCCACTGAGGCATACACTGCTGTATGCGAGGCCCTTGACGACGATTATCAGTGTGTGAGGGAGGCTGCCATTGATCTAATTAAGGTATTTTCGGATAAATTATTGTGCCAGACTGTCCAAAGTTTTGATGATATTATGTCTGAATGTCAGTATTGTGTCATTTCATTATGTTTTCTCATCCTGGTTATTCTAATTTTTTCAAAGAATGTTTTAGAACTTGAAAATGATGCTTAAAATTGTTTAAATTCTGTTCAAGGGCCCAACGTTGTTGAGTTTTAATTGGTCGTTAGACTGAGTATTTAAGGTGGTTTTCTCAATTCCCGCGTGCTTCGACTCTAGAAACCGTGCAATTCTGTAGCTATATTCGTCTGTTCATTGAAATCTTGTGTACCAATACATTACTGTCTTGGACTTTCGCCTTGAGAAAAATTGGAACATGGCACACATTTAGCTTCTGTCTTGAGAAAAGTTCTTGATCCAGGACAATGAGCCTGCCTTCAAGGACTATGGATTCCCTGTGTACTATTGTTTAGCTTTTTCCTATACCCGAGGTCCTTGAATAATTAAGAGAATTCACAAAATTCTAGGTTTGATTAAGTTGAATTTATAACATTATGTTCCTAAACTTGAGTGTAGAGAAAATACTCATTCAACTATTTAAAATATGCAATAGCAATCGTTCTCGAAAACTGTAATAGCCAAATTATTTGAAACAATTCCAATACAATGCTATCTAATGAAGCATGTTTATATTTTTTATAGAATCCTTATATGTTTAGGGATTTCATCAACTGTACTCATCAACAGACCATCGCTGTCAATGATGGCAACCGCTTGGTACCGACCTCCTCTTCAGAAGAGGAACCTGAGCGTCTGGCTGATCACGCTTTCTTTAGGATATGTGGTAGATAATTAGGCCCATGATTTCTAGTAGTGAAAAATTTCGTCCTGTAAAAAGTTTGTTAACGAGATCACTTTGATTCTGTGTAGCTCTTTGAATAATTTATGTTCCACAGAAATTACTCTTTGAAAATACATGAAACAATTTGGTGTTGAACATCTATGACTTTTTTGCTAGGTGTCTTAAAATTTATTGATATCATTTTGCAGGCTGCATGAACGACATATCTGTGCGCGTTCGTGTCAGTGCCGCTAGAGCATTGAGCAGCATTCCTGGTGTGTCGCAAAACGTGCTACTGCAGACACTAGACAAGAAGTTATTCAGCAACATGCGAGTGGGTCAACTAGACAGTAAAATTTGCGTTACTAGCTATTCAGCTTCACAAGAGGGGATTAACTAGGGTGCTATATTAGCAATACCGTACTAGCCATCCAGCCACAAGAGGGGGTGAACCAAGATGCTACCTATGTAAGCATTACTAGTTAGCTATCCTGTCACAAGAGAGTGAGCTAGGATGCTATATTAGCGTTACTAGCTATCCAGCCGCAAGAGGGAGTGAACTAGGATGCTATATTAGCGTTACTAGCTATCCAGCCGCAAGAGGGAGTGAACTTGGATGCTATATTAGCGTTACTAGCTATCCAGCCGCAAGAGGGAGTGAACTAGGATGCTATATTAGCGTTACTAGCTATCCAGCATAACAAGTGTGGTTGAACTGTTACTATTACTATAACGTACTGCCTAATTTCACTAGGATAGTGCCTCTAAATTCGATCCAGAGGTTCTTGAAGCATTGGCCTCCACGGCCTTCTCTTGTGCACTTCTACTGTGAAATGATCAATGGGCTTGAGTTGCGTCACCTGGAGACTAGTGATTGAATTTATCAATTTTGTGTGTTTGCCTTATTGTTCTGCTCTGTTGAGTGCCGATATTCTCAACAAAATTGCAAAAGAATAGAAAATCGGAACCTTTTTGTCGATAGTGAAGAATAAATTTTGACTCCCTTAGTTGATCGTTATTCATTTTGCTCATTATTTCTCAAAAATAATTAATGATGATTTTATGCTTATCCATATTAATTGCAATGAGCATGAAATTTATGCCAGTCTTTTTAATGATTGTCATGGTGCAGCGTAAGCTGAGCTACCACGAACGTCAGGCAGCGCTGGTGAGCAGCGGTCAGTGGTCGAGCGGGCGCGCCTGGGGCGACGACACCGTAAGGGAGACGCTCAGCGCCGAGCACACAAGTCTCACGCACTCCGCTGGCGCCTTCGTCCATGGCCTTGAGGACGAGTGTCTCGGTTGGTTGGCAGTTGAATTTCCTTGATAAACTATATAGTTCGTGGTTGGTTGCTTGGTATTGACGGGCTTTGGGCTTTATCGGATGGTTTCTTTCTAGCGATCGGATGGTATCTATCAATCGATCGGATAGTATCCAATTTCACTCGCAGATCACCATTATGTAATCTTGATGGTCATTGTGTGAGCTTATGCGCGGGTCATATGTGGATTAATATCAGTATCATATCATATTTTGTTGCGAGAACTGAAAATGCAAAAAAGAACTGAACTAAAAAAAATCTAATGAGTTTTGTCGAGAAGAAATTGCTTGGAGACGCACCATTTGAGATGTTCACAATGACCACAATTGAGCACTGCTTTGTCCAGCGGAATAATGAATAATTTATTGTGTACAAATAATCATTATCCACTCTGATTTATGTTCTACAGCAAATTAAAGCATATGTTGGGATTGTAAAATAATTGAGGACAAGGCTATTTTCATAGCAATTTTGCTGATATTTTTTTCGACGTTTGTTCAGAGGTGCGCAGCGCGAGTTTGGACGCTCTCTCGGTCCTGGCTGAAGGCTCAGAAATTTTCGCTAACCAGTGCTTGGACTTTCTGGTGGACATGTTCAACGATGAAATCGAGGACGTCAGACTGAAAGCTGTTCAGGTGTGTCACGAGAAGGAAACTTTTGTTTTGTCAATTGATAGTAATGCTGCTACTCGCTCGTTTTCGACATAAATTTTCTAACATGACAGAATTTTGCTATTTCGTTTCATTTAATATTCATTATATTATTATAGATGGAATACATTCAATGAATGTACAACTGTGTTGCCACTTACCTGTACGAGTTTTTACGTAGTTAGGAGAACGACCGTGTAACATTGCCTCGTACATGAGCTTGTAACAATGTTATTCTGCCGACTAAAGTAGAGTGAACTGTAAACTTTGGCTAATGCTTGATGCATGTCTAAATAGCATGTTTTTTTCAGGTGCTACAGCGAATAGTTCAACACATAAAGCTTCAAGAGGATCAGTTGGATGAAATCCTGCATGCACTCAAGGTATTAAAATGTTACAGATAAGGAGTCTCCAGTCACCTAAGAGGTGAATTTAAAATGTAGGTATTTTTACAGAGACGTTCATCTGAGTCATATATTCGCTGATTCATGGCACAATCTCTACAGTTGAACTGCAAAATAGGCAGCTTACAAGTAAGAAGTTACCGTTCTTTTGCAAGCTGATTTTCCGGGTACTCTAAAACAACAATTATGACTAGAGTGAATCAAACTTATATTTATTTTTGGCTATTACGAAAATCATCGATTCTTTGTTAGCCGACTGATTTTGTGCAAGTATTGCTAGTTGAGTAAAGCCTAGTTTCAAGAGATATGCAATAAAAAATAATGCCAAACGGTCTTAAGAACGTTACTTTGAACGCTTAGTCATCTTACATTGAATTTTTCAAGTCTCCAGAAAGTTGATCTAGCACCAACTTTAGGTTTGAATGATGAACGATTACTAGCGATTTTATTTATTTAACATGGTATGCTATGAAAGAAAAAAGTTAAGTGATCGTGTGTGATTATCGTTGTAGAGTTGAAGGTTGCTGAATGGCTTGCGTTTATGGTGTGCAGGACAGTTGGCAGTGCATACGTGAGAATGTCCACACTCTCATCGGGTCTTGTTGTCTGGCCACGACGGCTTGTCTGCTGGCAACCGTCAACGCCCTCATGGATAACATAAGAAGGTACCCACAGGTGAGTCGCTCTTCATCTTGAGCTACAGCTCTTGCCCATGTTTCAATGCTTTACTGCCTTGCTGAACAAGTTTACTTCCAAAGCACTACATTATCATAATCCTATAGCGAGACCAAGATCTTACTTTACAGAGTACTCTTCGATTTAAAAAAAAAAGTCACCGAACAATAGTATGAATAGACGAGATCTTTTGAAAAACCTCTCAGACCCATCTTCGCAGGAGAGTTCGTCCATTGGGGTTTTATTCATACGAGTTCACATGGTCTATGTGAATCAAATTTGAGATATTTAATTCTTAACCATTTCACTGGCAAGTTACCATATTTGATCACTTGAAATCGCCTCACAAAAAGCCCCGCCACGGCTTCCTGTTTGTTTTTTGAGGCGTCCTTATAATGCCTCGAGCAGTCAGTCACTAATTATCTGACCATCGTTCCATCCATAGCCCCACCACCTGCAATGCCCGCAAATTAAAATATGAGCATATAAATAAAGATTTTGACTCGGACGATGGAATTGACGCTCTTTCTGCATTTTTTCAAAAGATGGAAGTATCACTAGGTTTTAATCAATTTATCAGGTAAATTGATTAAATTTAATTACATTAAATTGTTATGTTACTAATTTTTCATTTGCGTAAACTAAATTTTAATTAAGACAAATTTCGTGTACTGACCGCATTTAATGAATTTTTCAAGTGCGATTTGAACCTTCAATAGGAAATTTTTTTAAAAATACATACGAATAAATATTTCGTATAATACTTCTTACTTTCTTGAAATGGTTTCTGGAATTTTAATTTTTGGGCATTTCAATGCTTGCTCGCTAAAGGGTTAAATCAGACAAACATTTTTTTCTCCGTCTGCAAACTTGATATTTTCAACGAGCGGGCATATTTCCGTTCAATGTCGTTATCGAGACATCAGTAAATGCGTTGTATTTGTCAGGACGTGCCTAGCATCCAGCGCTGCATGGTGTCCATGGGGTGTCGTCAAGCGAGCCTCGTGGCCGGGTTGGTACCGCAGCTGTTGCTGACTCACCCCTACTTCGATGCTGTAGAGCCAAGCCTTCACCAGCCGCACTACATCTGCAAGGTGAGACTTCTCTCCTTGGTCAGATGTTCAAACATGAGCAGCTTGCTATACGTCTGGCACAAAATTTACTCTGCTACCTGCTTACTCTAATGATAACTAGTGGAAAATTTGTATGTAATTGGTGTTCCATTTTCATTTGACATTTCGTTGATTTTTAGGCAGCTGTTCCAAAAAATTACATCGGATAAATTATAATAATTCAGTTTTTTGGACAATATGTGGAAAAAATTTTACTTTTTCAGAACCCACATATTGGACAATATGTGAAAAAATTTTACTTTTTCAGTTGTTACTGGTGCTGAACGCAGCGTCTAAGGTTCCCACCATCCTGCCACTGCTGGAGGAGCATACACTTAGCCACTATTCATATCTCAGAGACACCCTGCCCAATCTCGTGCCCCTGCTCAAGGTCAAGATGCCAACCTAGTTCAGAAAAATTCATCTCGTGTTTGAGAGTTCTTCGAACTGTAGCTTTTTCTTCCAGGCATCTGTAAAAATTCAATGAGCGTAATTTTCAAGAATTTCAATTGTATTATGACATTGGATTGAATAGTTTCGCCATAAATCATAGCTCCTACCTTTCGTCTTCGTGATATTGTAGAATGTTATGAGCTTTTTTATAGCGATGAATTGTGGAATTCCAAGAATTTCCAAAAAAATATTTGAAACTAATCTTTTCATTTCAACACAATGTTAATTGAGTTAATCCGTTTGTTTATGTGAATTCCTAAATCTTACTATAACTTTTTTGAAGAAAGGTGGGACGTAATATTTTTTATCCATTTCTCAGGTGAAGAACACCGCATTCAACGAAAGTTCGGTAGCAGACGTCCTCAGCAACACGGAGGATTTTCTACAACAGTCGCTGAGCAAACTGAGGCGTTTGGAGCACTCAAGTAATCAACTGCGTATCACCTTGTACCTCTCCGTGTATGCTGATTTGCAGAAACTGTCCGCACTTGATCCTACGATGTCTGCAGCCGCTCAATTTGCTGCTCTGTACACACGCTGCACACTTCTGTTGACTCGTCTCTTGAGCTGCCCTACGTGGCTGCAGCAGGAGTCATCTGGTAGTAACGTTCAGCAGCTGGTGACCCTCACCTTCCGCCTGGTGCATGCTTTCTCTGGCTTAGGTCCTGGAGATAGGGCCTGTGCTAGAGGAATAAGGTTGCGGGCATTAGCACTACAGCTTGTTTATGTCGTCAATGGATCAACGGGTTCTGCCTTGGGGCTTTGCGAAACCTTTCTCAATCACGCACGACCTCTGAAGGAAGCATCGAATGCTCTGCAACCTTCTTCTTCAAATAATAACAGGCTGACTGAGAAAGAGGTTTGCGATGCGTATGAAGATCCGTTCCAGGTGGTTGTCCTTAATCAGCTAAAAGATGAACGTCGCCCAGGCACAGTGGCCAGGACGCTACAGCCACTTCTGACAGCCCACCCGCCGCCTGCTCTGCCGCCCATCGTTCAACCTCGCGCCATAAAACAGGCGTCTGCCACCATCACAGAGCCCAGTCAAGATTCAGAAGCCGTTCATAAGCTCACGGCGGGTCTGTTACTTGCGATCCCGTTGGATGCACAGCTTTACCACGTGCCTGAGCCTCGCAGTGTTCGCATCAGGATTGCTTATCCAGATCAGTGTGTTCAGTACGTCGTACCGCGAGCTACTCACTTGCTGCCCACAGACGAGCCCCATTGCTACAGACTGCAGACGACCGTCCTGCTCACTGCAGGCGTGTGGTCGGAAGCGTGTCAGGTGCAGCTGAGCCTCGTGCTAGACCTCAGCCCGCCAGGCCCTAAGCGTAGACACGATCCTCATACCATCGACCTCAGTGAACCCACGTCGCTCATGCTCTGGCCCAAACCCATGAAGAAGAGCCTTTGAGGAAAGACTGGTCTGCCGGAATCAGGTTATCGCTGCCAACTCAAAGTTGATAACTGATATTGTCGTGTAAAGAAAATATTACGAGGAAGTATAATGTTAATCAGTATGCAATAAATGTAACAACCATTTTATATTTTTCCATATCATCATACATAGTTATCATGTTTTATTCCACCACCTTGTACTCTAACGATAAAAATATACATATTATTGCATTATTTTCTTTTAAGAAGTCGCTAGGAATGAATATCACAGGCTATTCATTAATTGCAGCTTCACATTTGAACCTTCTGATAGTTCGGTCTCGTGTAAACTTCTTGCTCCGATTTGAAGCCAAGTTTCAATCAGACAAGTTCACGGTCCGTTGATAGTGGCCGTTTTCACAGGCTCATAGGTTGACCGTTCCCTGATGTATTGTTTGTTACGCTGTTGTCAGCTACGTTCGAAACCTGTACATCCTTCAATGGGATGTTCGGGGAATGGGCCTGGGTAGCGAAAGAATTGGGAGTTAGTCCATAAGATACACACATCCATGCCGTTGACTGGAGAGCAGTGTGTTCATGCTGTGATGAAATTGGTAAAAGTTCGATGATGGTTCCGGGGGCTAACGGGTTTGTTAAGACTGGCATCACACAGTCGGTGGGAGTTCCTACGATTTCGATGAGGCTCGAGTTCGAGTTGATAGTTCCTTGCCTCACTTCATTACCTACAACAAACGAAGAAGATGCACACGAATCATCTTCTAGCGTTGAACCATCAGTTGCCGCATGTTGTATGTCACTGGGAATTATCCGAGTACCTGCATCAGTATTTTGCTTCATGTACCTGGCATCAAAGTTTAGGTCCGCAAAACTAGAAGTCACGATTTCGTTTGTTGAAACGTCCTTATTGATCTCAGATGTAGGTGTTTGTGTTGTATTTATTTTTGACTTTATTGTTTTATGACGCGCCTTTAAGTGTGCTTTCAAATTGTAAGACTTTGAAAAAGTTTCAGTACAATTGGGACATGCAAACGATGCAACTTTTTTCTTTTGACACACTTTGGCCTGCACGTGGCCTTGCAAAGCTCCAAGAGATTTAAAGCTCACGCTACATGAACTGCACGCGTAACTGTTGAGTTTGTGAACGCTTGCATGGTGACGCAGCATATCCTCGGTACAACCGACGAAATCACAGAGACCACACTTGTGAACAGTAAAATGTGTAAGCATGTGAACAGTAAAATCCGACTCTTTCGTCGCCTCAAAGTCGCACTTTTTGCACTTCATCTGCACGGCGAGATGAGCTTCTCTCTGATAAGTTTTGGGATCTGCATGGCTACTGGACAGTCGAGGCTGTCTTAAGAATCGATGTAAATTATTCTCACTTTGTTCCAACACGTCCGATGGTTCTTCGTGAGTTTTGAGGATGTGCGTTTTCAAAGAAAATAATGATGTGAATGGTAATGAACATTTAGAACACTCGTAATTCACCTTACGAGTCGAAAGTCTGACAGATGTGGCGGTGGCTCCAGAGCTAACTACTGTATGAGCGACAGTTGCATCTCTTGGGCTCTTCTTCGCCAAGCTATGCTTCAAGATTCTCAATTTTACGTTCTTCTTGTCTTTGACTAAGTTCGGGTATTTCTTCAAAACTTCCGTTATAATCTTCGTATGGTTGTTCAGTTCACTCGGACTGGCTTCAACGGTGTGCGAGAATTTACTTTTCACAGACACGGATGATGGGACGACTTCGTAAGATTGGTTATCACGGGGTTTGATTTCATAGCAATTGAAAGAATTTTTTAATTCTTTCCGAGGGCTGGAGAGTGCTGATAGCACTTGTACGGTGGCAGGTATTGATGAAGCAGACGTGGATGCAGTTGGAGCAGCTATAGTATCTGACGCAATGGAGACTGACACGTTACTAGCGTTAGTTATTTCACTAATTTCTCTAACAGATGTCTTGCTTGAAGAATTTACATTACTGAGTTCCAACACTTCTTCTGTTTGATATGACCTTTTATATTTTTTCAAAGGTTTCTCTTCCTCGCATGTCATTTCTTTGTTTACACAATGATCATCAACCCCATTATCTACACCGGGGTCAGCCGGACAACCTTGAGTTTCCTTGTTTGCGATTACCGAGTCTTTAGTGGTCACCAAAGATTTAATGGGCGACGCACCAGAAGTTGAAATTACCGATCTATGAAAGAGCGCTGAAGTATTTTTGGAATCGTTGGACGTGTAGTAATTTGAAACGGTCTGTTTGGTCACATCGTTAAAAGTCTCTGGGAAGATAGAAGCAGATGGCGACGAGAATTCATCATCTTTCATAGAAAAGTCCTTGAAGAACTGAGCCACAGGTGGTTTCGAACTGATACTAGAAGATGTTTGATCGAACGCTGATACTTCGTCAAGGTCATCTAAATGGAAGCGTGTTGGCCGCGGAACATCCGAGTGTAGAGCACGGCCGCGACGTCTGTGTACACGAATTAGGTCTTAGTGAAACTAACGAGAACAATATACATTCGATTCAACTATAATTTTAGAAGTTAGCTTATTAAGCCACCACGAAAGAATAACTAAGTAGATTATCCACGCCCAGCAAATGGCTTGCTGGCCTTGAACTGGTGTAAATGACAGTCCACAGGTGTGATAAGTTCGGCAAGCCTTATCGAATCAATTTAACTTAGTCATAAAAAGTGGCAAGGACTCCGAAGCACGGTGGCAGATTAAGATTTCGTCAATAATAGTTCATTATTGTACAAGATATCTGCAATTAGCGTTTATAATTTTTTCCTTGGTAATTTTTATAGGTACGTAGTAGAGCTTTGGAGGGAAATTAAAATAATCTTTGCAGCTATTGCTTTCTTAAAGAAAACAGGTGAATTTATTATAAAGATACATTAAATCGGGACTTACCTAGCAGCAGCATTTACTTTTTCCAGAATTTGACTGTTGGTCGGAAGCAGAAGGATATTTGAGGCAGAAGCTCCTCTCGAGTTACCTCCTAGCAAAGAAAAATATAATTCATGTGTAGATGAGTGTTAACATAAGGAACTTGTGCTAGATCAGAGCTGCGGCTTGCAACAGAAAGTGTAATACAATTCACGAGAGTATTGCGTAATCAAAGAAAAAGTAGAAAAAAGTTGTCCATAAACGATTGCTTGAATATAGTAACATTTCGTTGTTTACCTTGCCTGACGGTGGCGCTGAAGGCTGGCACGCTTGAACTTCCGACTGCAGATGTAGGCTTAGTTGATGGAGGGCTGGTGAGTTTGCCTCGCAGGAGAGCGTCAAATGCCGCTTCGCACGAAGACTGAGAATTCTTCACGATTGACTCAGTTTGTGAGTTGATACCAGTGTTTGAAACGCGATCAGAATGCGAATTGACTGCAGGTATCGTCGGTTCAGATGTTGGCATGTTTGGAAATATGGAGACTGAACTTGAAGGATGAGAGACAGTGGACTGGACGGGCAAACTATTTAGTATTTTGTTTGAAAAATGCATTATGTCAGCCTCATTTTCGGAAGAATAAGAACAAGAACCCTTGGATGTATTCGACGATGAAATCATTTCCGTTGTTATTCTTTCGGAATTGCGAACGTTGTTGACTTCCCTCGAATCAATCTCGCGAGTATGGGATTCGAGTTCAGCATTGACTGGCGACGTAGTGATAGAACGACAATCTATGGTCCTGTCGCTGTGTTCCACATTCGAATTCGGATTACAAGTCTGCGGCGTTATGTCGCCGTCAACAAGTGAACCTGGTTGACCACCCTGTGTATTTTTTGGTTCCAAAGATGGGGTGGGTCCATACGAGTTCATTCCGTTTACTTTCGTCGACGTATCAGAAAACAAGTTATTCGCATTCATTACCTCTCTTTCCCTAGAGGTACAGTCAAATTGACTTTCACACGTAACATTAGGTATACTTTTGGAAGAAAAATTAGCCGTCGAATCAGATGACCGTTTTCCGCTCATGGAAGCAACTGCATCAATTTCCTCGACGATGGCGTTGGACGTCTCGCAAGACTCTGCATCGCTCGATGGAACTTCAACTTCAGTGCAGAGTGCATCACAATTTTCAGAGTGTTCACGTTGAGTGTGCAATAAAGGTGACGGGGTTTCAAGTGAATTATATACTCCAGTTATGGCTTCGTCAAAGTCGGAGTCTAATGACGTGCTGTACGAAGACCTGATAAATTGGATAAAATGTACATGATCGATAAATTTTAGACCACCTGAGGGTCCTATTTGGTTCCAGAACAAATCAGCTTAACGGTAAACATTTTTAGGAGAAATATTTCCAAATAAAAATTCCAAGAATCGGCAGGCAACGAACCCAAGTTTGCGCACGCAATCAAGCAACAGAGTGAGTTTGATGAGGCGAGCCAGACGTAAAAGATCCGTGTTCAACGTAATGGCGCCGGTGTAGAGGAACCTGTTGAAGATAACTTTTTTTCATTAGTAGTACTAATTTATTAACAATGACTTGAATCATATGAACTCGATTGAAGCAAGACCTTATGAATCAATATGAAATAACTTCCCTAACGAACCAAACTTAGTTTTCTTATTGATGATTATTTGGTATGTTGGCGATATGTAGAATTTGAAACAAGAACCAACACCAGGGGCCACGGCTATAAACTAAAAAAAACTGCGCTGCAACTTCTCCACGCGACAACATTTCTTCTCGCTTCGAATCACCGACATGTGGAACAGCCTCCCCGATGACATCGTTGGAGCTCCAAGTATGAACGCGTTCAAGAACAGACTAGATAAAGCTATGGAAAAATATATGTTCAGATTTGAAATGCCTAGCACCATATCGAACCCGGTTGAAGTCTGGTAGCTATTTCAAACTATCGTCAGTCCTGAAAAAATCCGATCAAATGACAAGATTTAGATCTTCTATGAACAAGTCACGAAAAGTTCAAGATTCGGCGACAGGCCACATCAGGCCTACTCTTTAGCGCCGACATCACTATGTTATGATATGATGAAAGCGACACATTGCCCGCGAAAAAATCAGAAATCAGACTCTCGTTTTTAGGTTTTCATAGATTTATTTCATCAATAACGATATTTTTTCATCAAGATCTGACCTGATGAGGGGACACAAAAGGTCGGCAGTGACGTGAGGATGAGCGTGAACCACATGGGGAGCGGTCGTAGTAGTCACGCCAACACGAGCCAGGGAGCAACAAGACTCTAGCACCACGCGATGGACCTGAGTAGAAACATGAACCTGAGTAGAAACGCAAATACTGAGTAGATACGCAAACAATAGCATGGACCTGAGTAGAAACGCAAACCGTAGGTTTCACATAAGATGCGTATAAGTTAATTTCGGTAGGGTTAAGAGCAGACCAAATAAAGAAGTACAGTCTTGCATGCAGCTGAACCCAAGAAACTTTTATATTGAATTACCGCAAATTTTAGGGCAAATGACAATGCTAAGTAAATTTTGCTCTTAAGCCTACAGTTACTGAATAAAATTAATGAAGAAATACAGGGAGGAGTAAGTTGAACATATATCTCAGCTGAAAAAATGGCTATATACATCCCAAGTTGAAAAACAGTAGGTAATCTATATTTTGTCAAAGATGTTCCTACTGTTGCTTGCGAAGATAAGAGTTGAAAACGGTAAGCATATAACTAATTAGATTTAGAAGTTAGCAAGTAATTGGCCTAATAACCGCATTGGTGGTGCCAGACTGTGCTGCCCCAACACCTCAATGCAGGTCTAAGTTATTTCAAAGCTACTGAACTTATTGGCCTTAATTAACACAGCTTAAATATTATTGTCAAAAGACCAGGAACAGAAGTGAGATGTATCCCACCAGACAAACATTTAGAATTTGTCAATAATTTATTTACCGACTTGAGACAAAAAAATATTAAATTGTTCTAATTTAAGAAAAAATAAGAGCTATCATTTGAGGGTAAGTGTTATTATTGACCAATTAAATAAACTTATAGTGAATATAATAACTGAATAAACTCAACATTTGGATCAAACAAAAAATTCATGGGTATAAGCTATAAGGTTGGATGAAAAATTATTTGACGTGACCATATACTACTCACAAAAAAAAAAAAATGAAACTAACTATGAAAATGCAAAAAGTGATTAATCTTACCTTGACATAGTTTTCATTGGAGAATTTTATGATGAGATCACAGTATTTCCCTTCATCAAAACAGTGCAAGAGGCATGAAGAAAGTGTGGCAGACCAATCACTCACAACGAGTGCACAAGGCATCAAATTTGAATTTCCTTTCTTTATCTCAAGTTCAGCTACAGGTGCAGTGTCTATACTTGGGTCATTAGTATCTTTTGATGCTTCCATGATCATATAATAGCAATGTTCAACTTTTCCTAAGGCGAATCTTTATGCTGTGATGGAATTTCCAAAGCCATGGATCTCCTCCAAAGTGCTTCAGTATTTTTCATAAAAAAAGCATTTTTTTTTGTAAAGTTTCTTAAAGGGCTTTTCTTATAAAGCAACACCAGAGAAGCTATGATATTAATCGCTGTAAGTGCTGCTTTAATTTCAATAACCAAATTCATTAAAATTTTTGTTTTAGCATTGCAGTCAAAAGAAGATCATCAGATCAGTGATAGAAAAGGGTATTTACTTTTATTCATATACATACTTGTATAGCAATGAGTTATGCAATGAATGATCAAGTCTGAACTGGTGTTAGTTTGGAACTTGTGGAGTGACACAAAATTCAGACAGGGAAATTTGATTTTCAAAGCTTTCATAGCTGGAGAGAAAAACTGATTAAAAATCATTTTACTTGAAGAATATTCACTAAAATTTCTATCTGTAAATTTTATCATACTAAAACATTTGCAAGTTCAAACTGGGAATAATACACATGCATTCCTGCATTGATATTGTCAATGTACTAATAATGCATATAATGTCATACAATAAATTTAATTTGCAAAACATCAAAAAATAACTATGCATAAAATAATGCCTTATGCTCTTGTACAATGCAATAGATGATAAATTGAGAGCTAGGAAAAAATATATAAACACAGTTGTTTGAGTCACATATTACAGATTGAGTCCTTTAATAGAATAAAGCACAGCATCAACAGTGGGAGCATTGCACACACTTGCTACAGGCAGGTTTTCTGTCACCAGTGCAACATTAGTTGATGGACCAATAGCAACCAATGAAATACCAGTCATTGATACTCCCAGGTTTCTGAGAATTGGAATGGTAAATTCTACTCCAGAAGGACTGAAAAATACCATCACATCAGGCATTCTCCCATCTTTGATGGCAGACTGGAGTAAACTCTTCAAATTAGGATGAGGTAAAGTTTTGTAACAGGTCAAAGCTCTGAAGTCTCGATCATTGGAGGCTAATAACTTGGGAAGATCATCTTTCTTTATGTTGCTGCATGGGAACAACAGAGGCTTCTCAAAAGCTGGAACTTGAGAAATGATGAACTCGGCAAGCTGCTTAGAGTTTCCACACTGAGAACCAAGTGTATTGAGCCCAAGACTTTCATGGACTGCTTTGGCTGTCACTTCACCAACAACAAAATGTTTCTTGGAAAGCCAACTCTTGTGCTGATCCACTGAAAGCACAGAATATTTTTCCTGGACAGCTTTCACAGCTTGTTTGCTGGTGAATATTATTCCTGAGTAATCATCTGGGCACTGAAGGCAAGATTTAATGGCATCCAAATTGACATTTTTAAATGAAATTACAGGTATGAGCTGAACATTGAATCCAGCTTCTTGCAATTTACTTTCATATGATTTATCATGATCAGAAAAAGACTTTAACAACCAAATTTTCTTCATTGTGATTTTATGATATTAATTTAGCAAAAATGAAGTTCAATAGACACTATCATATTCTGTGAAGATCTGAAAATAATATGTTGAAGACAATTTAATGCATGATTTAGAATATATATATACTTATGAGCAATATACACAATCCCAGTATAGATATCACAAACATTTCAGATGTTGACAATTTGAATTCTTTATTCCATATAAAATACAATTAGTAATTTTTTTGACTTGTGAAATTCATTGCTAATGTATGCACATAAATATTTTAAGACAAAATCATGGTATACAAAAATAGGCTTAGAAGAAAGCTCAGGAATTATGATAAAAAATATATAACTCAGTACTCACTGCAGTGAGTGACAGAGAGTGCATTTTCTCATTGACAAAATTGTGAAGTCGCAGTCAGACGGACAGACAGACAGATGGACATGATAAGCACAATAGCGCCTTTTTTCCATAAATGAGAAAATGTGCTAAAAAGCTGTTATCAATTCAATTAATTACTTGAATTGATTTCAATTAATTACTTGAGCTCCAGTGTCAAAGAGGGCACAGCATATGATGCACCCTGGACAAGAATGTTGACCTGTGCAAGATCAATTGGTGTTGGGATGGCCCATAGTGCAATTCTATAGGTCATATAAAAGAATCTGGTCTTATGACATTTTGAACTGCTTAAGGCTTCTTTACAGACCAACTGCCTCACTGCACAACACAGTGAACACACTAGCACCTTCCCAATCAAAAACTGCTTCAAAACTGAATGAGGGGCAAGCCCTGTCAGCAGCTAGACTGAGTTAGCTGCAGCAGCTGGATTGTTTTGAATTTCAAATCAAATGCCCTGGTCTTAAGTCCTTAGGAGCCTAAATTTCAGCCTAAAATATATTGAAAATTTATGTTTCTGCATGTATTTTAAAGCTGTTATCATTGGGAAACTTCAAAGTATCTTTCATGTAAGAAATACTAGGTTAAACAATTTTATTTTGATAAAAATGACTCACTTCAAAACCTAGGATTTCTTCCAAGTTTGATTGCTTGGATTGCTCAGTTTTCAAGTGATGTTCATTTCTAAATTAAAATTTATTTAGCCAGTATTTCTTGCATGAGAGATGCTTTGAAGTTTCCCAATGTTAACAGCATTAAAATCCATACAGAAACATACATTTTTAATATGTTTCAGGCTCTTAAGGACTTGAAACTGGGGGCTTTGATTTCGAATTCAGAAGTCAAAACAAAGATGGCAGTGCCCACACAGGCACACACAGATGGCATCATGGCAGCGCCAGCAGCGGCAAGCAAATGCACTACTTTATTGTTTAGTATGTTAGAATGGTGGCAGGGAATTATTGTGAGTACTTATCGGTCCACCGCCATGCGGCAGTCTTAACCCTTTGCAAGGCCCCATGCCCTTGGCACTTGGGCCCCTCTTGCAAGTTGTAATTGTCTAAACTCAACAGTTTGACCCCATGGTCTCATCACAACTCCCTTTAGAAATATGTGGAGTTTCGAAATTGATAGTAATAAATCAATAAATATTTGAACTGGGAAATTCCTTAGTTACTTACGTTGGTTCCACAATGACATAAATGACGTAAAAAATGACAATGACATTGGTTAAGCCTCAGCCATAATTCTAGCTTTGCCAAGTCCTTACACTCTTACCTTGTAATTCATGATGTTAGAACTTTGATATTCAAATGTTGACACTACTGTCAAGTGTCAATATCACAATCAAAATTATTTCACAATAAGAAATATGTTATAATATCACAATCAAAAATATTATTCACAAATAACCATCCATTTCAATGCCAAACTGGTCCCATCTTCACGCTAGCCATATGTAAACATATGGCTAGCAGTGACGTCACACACAAGAACACGTGGGAGACAAAAAAGCAATATTTCGCTGCACCACAAACAAATAAATGTAAATAATTGGTAATGGAAAAGTTTTTCTGGAACATTTTGAGAGACTGTGCCTAAGCAGAATACAATATTAATAAATTATTAGTAAAGATACTAACAATAAAGTAGTTCATTTGATGGCCGCTGCTAGCGCTGGCATCTGAATACAGGCGTGCCACCTTTGTTTAGAATTCGAACAATTCAATTTCTCACTGCAACACAAGTCAATACATTTAAAAAATGAGTAATGGAAAATATGTTGCTGGAACACTTAAAGAGACCGGACCTAAACAGAATACAATTTTATTATATTATTAGTGAAGACTGAAGATACTAACAATAAAGTAGTTCATTTGTTTGCCGCTGCTAGCGCTGGCATCTGTAATATGTGAAGCTTCTATGGGTAATTGTACTTCTATGGGTACAACTTCTATGATCAATTTGAATCATAAACATTTACCTAATGCAAGAAATTAGCAATCAATAATTCAAGGTTATTTTGTAAGTTTTCTAACAAGGGAAGACTACATTAAATACGTATTGGCAACTTATGCTAAAAAAATGCACTGAAACTGCAAACAGCTGAGACAGAAGGTGCCAGAAAGCGCCATCGATTCATTTATCATTTTTTATTTCAAATCGCTTTCAGTTCTTTGGACTAGGAGTGTAAATTTCCATGTAAAACCTATTAAAAGTTTAAGTTTCTACGTGGATTTTGATGCTGTTAACATTTAAATACTTGAAAGTATCTCTGATGCAAGAAATACTGGCTAAATACATTTTAATTTAGAAATTAACATCAATCAAAATTACAGTTGTTCCGGGCTATGTTGGTTCTTGCGACCGATTTTTGCATCCAGTCGCTTAAAATGAAAATAAAATTGTTTAAGCAAGTATTTCTTGCATTAGAGATACTTCAAAGTTTGTTAATGTTAACAGCATTATAATCAATGCAGAAATGTACATTTTTTATATAGATATTAAAAATTTAGGCTCTTTGACTCGTATACTATGGCCCTATGGGTCTAGGATTTCAAATGGATGCATGTGTTCAAATTCAAATAAGGCCCGCCCACGGCCAGTGTCAGCTCAGCTGACAAACCGCTCCTTTCTTCAGAAGCAAGAAAGCTTTTGCCGGGTAAGGTTGTGTTACATGATTGGTCCTCGGTCCGTAAAGAAGTGTCGATCGGTTCAAAATGACATGAGACCAGGTTCTTTTGAATAACCTATAGAATTGCACCATGTATGGCATAGTCAGGAACCACTGTGCAGAGAGTGAACGAAGATTTAAAGACCTATGGCGACGCATTATCGGCAAAATTTTTGCCTTCAGAAGATCTTGCCGAAACATTTAGAATGAAATTCTTGCATTTAATATATTTCTCAGTCTTCAGCCAACTATTTAGAAAAAAAGTAAGGTTTTCGGTACGTTGGATGGATTACGATGCAGCGAAGCTTGTCCGGAAATCAGTTGCGATGAGTTCCCGCAAAAAATGTAAACAACATTTTTTCGATTGCGTAGTTTCGGTCGCATTAGAGCAGAGTCGAACTGACAATAATAAAATGTAAGACATGTCCGGGTTACTTCTGACTCTTCCGGTTGTCCGCCTTGTCGGATATGGAATGTACGGTAATCGTAAACTGCGGCTGTTATACATACGAAATGTAAACAGACGGTGTTCAGTGTTGCCATATGACTTTGGAGAAAATTTCTTCTAAAATAAAGATGGCCGGGATTGCGCGAACACATGCGCAAAGATAATAAATTTTCATTACATTGCGCCAACTGTGCACAGCAATAGCTTAAAAAAGTGAAAATGCGCGGGAAAATTCACCAAAAACATACATCATCCTGAGTGTGGCATGTATGTTAGACTAATAAGTTTAATAAATTCATTAAAAATTACCCGGCAACGCATCTTAAATTACCTGGTGACGCTTAGGGCTTAAAAACCCATATATTGGCGACGCTGCATCCCCCCTCTGCACCCTGGTAAACTGTTTTGTTTGTGTAGAAAGAATATTATGGTTTAAGACTTTTAAACAAGTCTGTGAATATATTAGGTATTCTTTAAGTATACTTGTATTTGCTGATTTTAAGTGGTAAATAAATTAATAGAGGATTGATTTAAGAGGTGGTTTTAGACACATAAAAACTAATTCTGACTCCATAGGTCACTGTTCACAAATCACAATCGCACTTTCTTGTCTAAGTTGTCTTCAATGGGTTAAGCAACTTCAGCCAGATTATCAATCAAAATGGTTTCCTCAGCAACTGGGCAAGTTCCATTTTAGGAGGAGATAAATCTTTCAATTCTATCAAAGTATTATGATGGAATATGGATACCTGCCAAAGCAGCCAAACATTGCAGTCTGCAGAGTGCAGAGACACAACCTCCTCATTTTCACATAAGTCGTGTCGAGAAATTACGAGCGATAAACAACAATAATACACTTCTCACTCTTCTGTCCTCACATTGAACAATTTGCTGTCAGCGTATAACATTTGATATTTCTAAACACGGCAAATTGCCTGGAATTCTCATTAATTTGTAAGAAAGTCTCCTCTCAAAGTTGGCAGACAAATTATACCCTTTCAGATCGGAAATAATAGGCCTATCCCTCAATGAGCACTCGTCGTTGTTGTAGGTACATGGGATCGAGGGCAACCATTCACTTTTGCAACTCTTCCACAATAACCTTTGCAGCAATCGCAGGTTTATGAACAGAGACTCTCAACCGCCTGGCCCAGGCGAATCATCTAAAATTAACCTGGCAGGTAATGATTGGTAATTTTTAACGGCCACGATGTAATGGACCACGGGACGACTGAAATAACCCAGCATTGCCCAATACCAGCATAATTTTCATACTTCACCCCGTGCGCAAGCATGCTGCAGAGCAAATTAGCCAACATGATTACTTGCTGAAAGCCACAGGGACTAAATTCCTTCATGGATGTAAACCAGCGAGCCAGTGACCTGCAAGCCGCCAAAACAATGGTCGTAACCCACACGCTAAACCCCAAAATATTTCTATTCCATGCAGCCTAGCCCCTTCCCCACTTTCGATAAAGAACGCCCTGCGCCACACTGCTACCTCTCCAGCCTGTCCGTTCTTCTGGAGGCTAAACCTCCACGCTTACCCCCACTGGTGTGGCGA